TATATATACTCACCGGCCACTTTATTAGATACACCTGTCCAACTGCTCAGTAACAAAAATGTGGAATCAGCCAATCACATGGCAGCAACTCAATGTGGACTGGAAGTGGCCCACGAGCTGCCAGTTGAGTAACCCTGGTCTATTATACTGTATATAAGTAACTCCATTTATTTGTACCTTCATCTATACTGACATTAGCAACAGAGCTATTTTGGTTCATGTTCACTCATTTATGTTATTAAACTTATTAAACTTTTTCTCATTTTTCAGGAAACCTCAAATTTTAGAATAGTTGCTGTATAGTTCAGAGGGATTTATTACTAAATTGGTAATACTTATGAAGCTTTCAGAGAGCCAGCATCAGAGACCTCATTACGTCTAAAAGCAGGGTGGTGAGTCCTGGTAAAAACTGAGAGGCTGATTTCAGCGAAGAGGACAGATTAGCATAAAACCAGGACAAATGTCCCCAAAAAGTTTAAATAATCTCTTGATTTTTTCTTCTTTTTTTTTTCTTTCTGAACTTCAAAATGAAAGGAGGTGCTTTTTGATCTAAAGAGGAACCTTCTGGACATGTATCATCTTAGCCCCACCAGGCCCATAACACTGTCACTGCTGAGCCTTTAATGTCTGAGCTATCTCCAAACGCAGTGAGGCTGCTTTAAAAGCAGGAAAATAGGACACAGAGAGATTGGAGATTTCTGCTTTTTTTTTCTTTATTTGACCTTTACAACTGCATTTCACCACCTATACACAAACCGTTTCAATTTGTAAACCGATTCTCTTTTAATGAAGATGAGAGGTGACCAAGTAAATAAATAGAGAGCAATAATTCAGAGAGAAGCAAGAGGTTATGAGGACACCCACTCAATATTTTATCCCTCTGTAGAAACGCCACAGTGTCTGTATGTTTGATAAAACATTGTGGTCATCGAGCCCCAATGTTTACTGTTAATCTGACGCGGGTCAGCGGGTCAGCACCGTCTCGACCCCGGCTGGCAACAAAGAAATGCGCTGTAATCTCTAATCATCTGTGAATGTTATCACTAGAACAATGTAAATACATGCTAAATCATTTTTCAGATAAGAACACAAAACACTCACAACTGAGGTTTTTAAGTGATTTATCTGAGCTGTTCTTTTTAAAAAATAAATAAATATTATATAACTTCAACAATTTTCAAAAAGAAGTTATGTGGTTCATAAGTTTGAATTTACTTTAAACTTTTTGCTGATCTACACAGGAGCTGAAAAAGTAGTTTTCTGCAAATTGAGTATGAGTACAAATACTTCAGTTTAGGTATTTACTGAGTTAGAACCTTAACATTACAAAATGACTTTAAAAACACTTTTCTTTTATTTAGAACAAAGTGTCTCTCCTTCCTCCTCTGACTTACTGATCAAATATACAGCATGTTACTGTTGTAACATTTTAAATAAATAAAAATAACAAATTTATTTCAACTTGTATAAATCTCTTAAACTGGAACTGATAAAGTTCTGCTTGAAATGTAAACTGCATCACATTCAATGGACTATCAATACCAGTACCGCAACATTTATACAGATATTGGTATCAATCTCAAGTATTGGGGCATTTTGTACTAGTACTTGTAAAAATTATTGTATCAAGCCCAATACTGGACACTAAAAATAAACATACATGTTCAAATATTTTAAATGATTCTTTAACTTCTGACAGCAAGTCTGTCATACAAAATGTCACGGAAATTATTGATTGTTAAATAGGTTAAATGCATATAAAAACATTAACATTTTTTCATTTTTATTAAAAAAAACTCAAGTCTCTCTTATGTAAACTGCTAAAACTAATGAAGTTACTTTCCACTGTGTCAATAAAATTATACTTTATCTGAATTGACAGAAGTTAAATTTAAAGTATTGATATTTTGATTTTAGTATTAATACTTCAGCATAGAATTTTGGTATTGGTGGAATCTATAATTTAATAGAGATCTGCAGGTCACAAGTGACTATTTAGATCATTCCAAGTTTGGTTCCATGAAAAAGTTATGAACAGTAAATATCTTACCTGTTGTAGATAACCTCAGTTTTAAAAAGGGCGTTTCATTCTGACAAAACTGATGTGGTAATGGATAATCAGAGTTAGGCTAAGTAGATTTCATACTTATTTGTTAGCAAAAAATAGAGCAGTAGCTAGTACTTTCTGCACAGTCTGGGGCACTTCAGTTACCAGACCCTCAATTCTAACAAATGCTCCCCACAAATTCTCATCCGTGGGTGTCTTCTGCAATGATTTGAGTGATCGTTGTGTTGTTGTTGCTTCCAGGAACACTAAAATTCCAAGATGTAAGCCATGCATTATTAGTAAAAGGAATTTGAAAATATTCCAGGAGCAAGCTTTTCACCATGATCTATCTGAGGTCAAATGGGAGCAAATGGGTTTGTTTCCAGACGTCGAGCTAGCTTGGACTTTTTTAAATTGTACATAAACATGCCCCCCCCCCCCCAATTAGGAAATTTAGAGTGAAGGGGCAGGAGAACCCCTGGTTTTCTCCAGAACTGTCAGATATCATTCATCAGCAAAACGTGGCATGGGCTAAAGCCAGAAATAGTGACTGTGATACAGACTGGTCCACTTTCAGGCAACTGAGAAATAAATGTACTTCTTTCATCAAAAAGGCAAAGTCAGAATACTACTTATCGGTCACAACTGAGAACCTCAACAATTCACAGAAGTTTTGGAAAGTGGTTAAGACTCTATCTGTTCATAGACGTTTTCAGGCCTTTCCCAAATTTGTTCTAAAAGACTCAGTCCCAGTGTGTGAGAGAACTGAGGTCTTAAACTGCTTTAGCAAACATTTTATATCATCTGGCTCACTGTTTGAGTCTTCTGGACTGACTTCTGTGACGTCTTGTCCAGATCCTCCAGTGTTTTCTGGAGACCCTTTTACTTTTGTTCCCTTTACGGTACAACAAGTGCCCTTAAAGCCCTGGATCATAGAAAGCCCCCAGGACCAGACATGATAGAGGCCTACTTTTTAAAAAAGGCTGCTGATTTTGTAGCACAGCCTCTTACAATTCCTTTTAATCTTTCGATACAAAATAAAGAGGTTCCTTTAGTCTGGAAGTCAGCTTTTGTTATTCCCTTATTAAAAGGAGGTGACCCGGGGGGCGCTGTGGAGCCGTGAACTAAGATGGCAGCTTAAAGTGGATGCTCCGTGTGACCTGCACCAAAACTTCGAAAAACCTGGGATTGGAAAAGTAATCTGGATTCGAAAATGTCAAAATCGACTACACTTAAGGACTGTGATATCTTCACACGAAAACGCGGTTCCCAAAGACCAGTTAAAACTGATAATTCGGTAGCGGATCAAGACAAAGAGGAGGCCGCTAGCATTGATAGCATGTCTGACCTTAGCACGGTGCTAGCTGAACTTCGGTCATTGCATTCAGAGTTCGGTGGATTTGGAATGAAATTGGACAGCATAAATAACCGTATGGGTGAAATGACGAAGTCCATCACATCTTTGGAGAAAAACATAGCAGAGGTGAAGCAAAATGTAGCTGCTAATGCTATTAGACTGGAGGAAGCTGAAAACAGAATCGTGTCGGCGGAAGAACTCTTAGAAAGTAGTACGGCTAATCTTGCCAAAGCCCTGAAACGAATATCCCACTTGGAAACCAAGACCGACGACCTGGAAA